GTTGAACCATGCACTGTTATTCACCGTGTAGCTGAATAAAAGTAAACTAAGCACAGCTTCCAAACTAGATGTCTCATTTAGTATCTCCATGTAGAAAAGTATTTCAAATTACAGGAAGACTATTTAAATACCTGGAATCTATCTTATTTATTAGGGTTTCAGGCACAATATGCTTTTCATATAAGGTGAGCTCTGCAATAGAATGATGTGCTACATAAAGGTTCTTGAAGTCAAGGAACGGAGGAATCTGCCAGCATGAAAATATGAAATTGTTCTCTATTAGAAACATAATGGGCAAAATTAAACAGGAAACTGCAGCTGAAGATTAACGTAAGTATAAAACAGTGCAAGACCTAACTAGGGGCCCATTCTTCATAGAGCTTTTTACACTGGTATGAGAGATGTCGTTCTTTAGAACAGGGATCGCAACCTTATTCTTTCTGAGCCCACTCCATGTTGTTTAAAAAAAAATCATGTGACAAAATTGTTTTTCTGCATATAAAAGCCAGGGCCCACGTTGAGGAAGTAGCAAACAGGGCAACTGCTTGAGGCCCTACCAGAGTCGTCCCCCCCCCAATAAAACTATATTGTTCAAGCTTTGGCTTCAGCCTTGGGGTGTAGGCGCTTATGGCCCAGGACTGTGGCTTTCTACCCCGAGTCACAGCAAGTCTAACAGTGGCCCTTCTTGGAGCCCCCTCCTTCAAAAACCTGCTCACTGCCTCCCTCTCCCCTCACTGGTTCCAGATTCATGGTTGAAAACCACTGCTTTAGAGCACTAATTTATTTCCCATGAAGAGGGTTAACATTCAAGAACCAACTAGGAAGACACATGTAAACTACTTTTAAAGGTGACCTACACATTGTGCTTATTCATTATTACTTGTATTGCAGAACTTCGCAGAGGCCCAATCAGGAATCAAAGGCCTCAATGAGATGGGATGCTGTATAGCTGTGTAACAGAAGAGTCCTTGTCCCAAAAAGCTTATAAACTTATGTCCTTTTTTAAATTTCTGTGATACAGTACGAGTGTGTGTGTGTAAGATTTTTTTTTTTTTTTTAAGATTTCTTTTTTTAGCAATGAAAATATCAGGTATGTCAAACCTGAGTGCCCCTTGTTTTCCTGAAGAACCTCTGGGAGGTCTCAAGGATAGTACTGGAAGCTGTAAAACTCTCACAGCAGGGAAAAGTTGTATAACATTTATTTAAGGTAGCCTTTGTTTAAAGGTTTTGTCACTGAAATTAAAAAAGCTGTTAAAGACAAAGTTTAAAAAATGATAAAATTCCTCCCAAATTGCTCAGTTCTCACTTCATTCTTGAGATGTCTCAATTTATTAGTCCTTAAGTTAGTATTTTGTCCTACAAGCAACCTGAACTTCTCATGCAAGAAACAAGCAGAAAAGAAAAAGCAACTTGCAGTTTCAAGGTATCTTTATACAGCAAAACTCCAATTGTCTGGTATCCAGTGGTCCGGCACTCCTGATAGTCCGGCACCAACTGAAACCTGAAAATGCTCCAGCCAGCCGGACAATTGGAGCTGCTGAGAGTCCCTCTGGAAAGGGCTGGGAAAGGGAAGGGACCCGCACTGCGACCAGATGGGAGGTAGGCGGGGAACGGCATGGCAAGAGGCAAACCCTCCACCATTTTGCAGGAAGGCGGGGGAGGCGGGCTCCCCACCCCCCAGACTGCAGTAGTTATTGCCGAGCTGGGGGGTGAGGGGCAGCGCTGCGGGACCAACCCAGCAGCACCCCAGCTGCTCTGCTCTGCAGCTTCCCCAAGTGCGCTGCTGCTGAGTCTGGTGGGTGGGGAGCCCGCTACCCTCCTGGAAACTCTCGGCGGTGGCGCGGGGCCTCCCCCGCCTTCCTGCAAAATGGTGGAAGGTTTGCCCCTGACCACGCCCTTCCCCGCCCACCCCCCAGACAGAGTGCGGGTCCAGCAAACCCATCACAGCCCCCCACCGGAGTACCTCTTGATACTCCGGCATATCTGATAATCCAGCACCACCTACGTCCCAAAGGTGCCGGATTATCGGAAGTCTACCGTACATGGTAAAGCAGCAAAGAAAGGGTACAAGACTAATTTTTTTTTTTTTTTTTGCAGGGCACCTTTTAAAATAGCTTTAAAAATCACCCTGTCAGCAAACAGGAAGAGAACAAGTTCCTCCCTTATTTCACAGTTCCCTTATTTCTTGTACTACATCTTTTCAAGCAAATTTAAGCAGCCAAGTACACGATATACTGTATCGTGCAAACACCTAACTTTTGAAATGTTATAACTTCTATGCCTTTGACAGATCAAACATGTCTCTTGTGAATGAAAAAAGTAATATTAAATGGTGTATCTAATACTAAACATGTCAAGACAAACCGTTTCTCTGCTTCAAGTTTATCCATCCTCTTCCAGAGACGATTTACTAGTGCTTCTTGTTCTTGTTCCAATGTATTTTCAAGGTCAATCTTCTCTCGTCTTAGCTGAGGAAGAAAATTGATAAAAAATATAGCAATTGATTTTGCTGTGTAATATTTGTATTTTGCAAAGTTTAATATTCACCCTATTGCTAAAGTTTGAGAGAGAGGAACTATAAAGTAATTAAATCAAAGAGCAGAACAATGGTTAAAGTAAATGGAGGGCAGAGAGCCACATCAATAAAGATACCTTAAACTGCCTTTGGTGTGCATTACTTTTTCTTCCTACATGGATCAGCCCTACACAAGATCTCTCATTCCTAGGTTTGGATTGGTTTGTCTTTCTCCATACCCAATCACAGAGATGCAATGTAGCCAGCAAGTGAAAGGATAGGGCCTAGCAAACACACTGCTCGTTGCATGTGTCACAGTAAGTTTACTTGACAACGTATTCACATGTTTACACATTTGCTATATACATAATTATTCTTATGGACAATTTGAAAAAAATGTCAAGGGGAGAATTAAACAATAAAAATTTACACTATAGAGTCTTAAATCTGCTTGACATGCAGGGCAAGTGGTGTGCATAAATGCAGATAAATACAGCGAGAAATGAAGAAAAGTGATTTCTGTATTTTTAGATAAACTTACACAGAACCAAATTCTAATGCCAGTAGAAACAAGATTTCACAGAGTTCTTGGTTATGCCAATGATACCAAAAAGACAGTTTAATTATTTCCCTCACCCATTTAACTCTTTATAATAACTAATAACCATTATTCAGTCAAGTATGAGCTACCAGAAACTGGGAAAAATCCTGCATGTCAAAATATGCCAAAAGATGTTGGACAGTAGTCACTTCTTGGTGAGAATGCACTGCACGTTCAACAGACATAGTTGTAACTGTAAAGCAGTGGTCCCCAACCTTTAGAGGCTGCCGGGCGCCAGGGGGCGTGGCCGTTCGCCTGCCTTGCGCCCGGGGCCAGCGCCCCCCCATGTCAGAAACTGGGAAAAATCCTGCATGTCAAAATATGCCAAAAGATGTTGGACAGTAGTCACTTCTTGGTGAGAATGCACTGCACGTTCAACAGACATAGTTGTAACTGTAAAGCAGTGGTCCCCAACCTTTAGAGGCTGCCGGGCGCCAGGGGGCGTGGCCGTTCGCCTGCCTTGCGCCCGGGGCCAGCGCCCCCCCATGT